GCCCCTAAAATTTTCTCAACGGATTTAGACGATTCACAAAAATGATCAATTTAAGAAATAAAACGGCGGATTTCCGCGAATCCGCGGAAAATTGCCATGTATGATATTATACTGAACAGCAAGGCCAGTGGGGTATGTATCCTTTTTGTTGGAACATGTTTCATTTCAGTTGCTACGCTCGTCATTACAGTTTTCCTCTATGCCACCAAGTGGTAGCATCACAGGGCAAGAGGTGGGGTGCATGGACTCCTTGCCACATGTAGACAAATAACTATTCACACTCACATTCATACCAGTGGGCAATTGAGAGTCTTTAATTTATCAAACATGCATGATTTTGGAATGTGAGTGGAAGCCAGAGTACCGAAGAAAACTCTTTCAAGCACAAGGAGAATATCCAAACTGAACAAACAAAAGCCAGTGCCAAGATTCCAACCCAGAACCTCAGAATTGTGAGGCAGATGTGGTAACCACTTAATCACAATGCTGCCATGCACTATTAATAACAGATCAATTAATTAATCAATCAAATTTTACATACCGTATTTTCCACACCATAAGGCACACTTAAAAACAATCAGTTTTCTCAAAAGCCGACAGTGCGCCTTATAATCCGATGTGCCTTACATATGGATCAATTTTCTGATTTCTTGGACGTGGTATTTTCAATGTTTTTTACAGCACTTTATTAAAGCTGCAACAGTTTGTAAAGCTCTATATCAGCCTTCCTCAACTGGCGGACCGCGATCCACGACCGGACCGCCGACCTCCTCTGTCCGGACCCTCAGCAAATTGTATAAAATAATAAATTATGAAGTGATTTTTACGTTATACATTTTATATTTGTGGACTATAATCTGCGCATTACCGCGATCGCTTGTTAAAATTATCCGTTGTATTGTTTGCGTGCACGAACAGATGTATTGCAGAGGACCGCAGCAGCGCGACTGTGTGTTGTATAATGTTTGACTAACTGGAGACCCTGGCTGAGCAGGGCATGTCGGCGATAACGACGCGCTGATTGGCTCCTCTGAACTTAAGGTGTGCCCATACATAAGCATCAGCATATACGATGCGCTGATTGGCTCCTCTGAACTTAAGGTGTGCCCATACATAAGCGTCAGCACGCGTCTATCCCAATACACA